TATCTAAAAAATGTGTGTAACGCGGGGGTGAAAAACCACCCCCCCCCCAAAAAAATTTTTGGCCCCCCCCCCCCCCAGTATAAGTGCTTGGAAATAATATTTAAGCCTACATTTTATTGCTGTTTTTCATGTTAAATGTGAAGAATGACAGGTTGGATGCCACAGACTTTTTATTTGATTTATTTATTTATTTTTGGCGGAGTATAGGTGGAATTTTCACATTAACTTCACACAATAACATGATTTTATTATCGTAATTTTGACTTTATTCTTAAAATATTATGACGTTAATCTTATTTATTTTTCAACGTGGCACTAAAATGCCGCCATAGGCTATTTGTACTGCATGCAAAACAATCTTGGCACAGAAGCCCAAAAAACAAAGACAATAAATAAATAAATAAAATACTAAGGAGATATTTTGATTATTTATTAATGAATAGTATTTTCTGAGTCAGTGTCACAAGATAAAGTTGACGTACCTGACTCCATCTCCTCAAGACGCGCGCCTTTAGAGAGAAATATATCTTTACGGATAAGCCTACATAATGAAAGAATTTTCGTTTTCGATTTTAATTATTTAGTTTCAAAGTATTTAAAGCATTCTATTAGATATATTTATCATGTCTGTGAGGAGGCAAGTATTCAAGTGTCGGTTCATCATTGTGAAGTGCTCCTGCTCAAGACCAAGACGACAGAAAGCGCATCCTGTTTGTTTTCCTTATTTTACAAAAGCACATGTTTTTGATGATATTGTGAGTGAACACAAATAAAAGTTGACCCTTTACAATTCTGAATGATGTATTACTCTTACCTTTATGAGCAAAAAGGACAGCGTATGTTAAGTTTCCACTCTTAAGAAAAAAATGAAAGTGATCGCGCTGGCACCTCCATGTCCTGCAAAGCGCACTTCAGCTTCCACTCTCCGCACAAACGACTGTATATGCGTCTAACAGCACACATTTATCTAGGTAAAATTTTTAATTTATTTGCAGTTGCAGTTGCAGTTTTATTCACTTCCGTATTGGCTTCAAGCTAAAGACCGGGAGGTTGCCGCTTGGTGTTTACATGCACTCTCAATCGTATTAGAAAAGGAATAAACCACCCCCTTCAATCCGATCGATTAAGGTGTTTACATGAAGGTTTTCAGTCCGATTGTGCCGTCAATCCAATTACAAATGGATTTACTAGCATTCTCTATTCTATCTTTTTATTTATTAAATTGAAACCTTGCTACGTTAGGCTAACCGATAATTGTCACAGCACTTAGATAGTATTGCCCTTTTGTTGGTTTTGCTTGCTTCTATTGTTCTCATTTGTAAGTCGCTTTGAATAAAAGTGTCTGCAAAATGACTAAATGTAAATGTATGTATGTGTGTGTATATATATATATATATATATACACACACACACACACACACGAGAGGGAACGGGCAACACAAAGCGGCAACAGTTATTTTTGTTATAAGCGGTTTAACTGTACAATACAATAGATCTTTACACTTTGAACGTGCCGCCTTCCCGCCGTTGTCATTCGCTGTGTTGACCGGAGGAAGTAGACGCTACTGAGGCAGTCTGGGATACTGGCGGACCCAACAACTCCTAGTGTGATGGCGACCAATATAGAGCAGATTTTCAGGGATTTTGTAATGAACAAGATTAAAGAAATCGAAGATGAATCTCAAGAAAACAGGTAAAATGTCCGATCTTTTACTTGTGTCTTAGGAGTTCGTGTTTTATCAGTAACGTTATATAAGTTGTAGTTGTATTTGTTTTAGCCGGCTAGCTAAACATTAGCTGTAATCATCAGTGTTTACGGTCGAAACGGTTTACGATTGTGTTGTGACTGAATTGTGTGTGTTTTATCTTTCATTGTTTGCTGCCATGTGTTAATTGCTATGCAGCAAATACTGCCTTCACTTTGCCTTACAGATATATATTGATAATTACATGTTACTCCAATTTACATAAAAAAAAAAAAACTATGGTATTGCCATGGTGCTTTTTGTCAGTATAATTAATGCAGTAGGTACAGAATACAAGAAGTAAACATGCACAAACCTACTCTAAACTAGGGTTCCACTATAATTATTTCATATAACGTTAGATTTATGACGTCATGATATTTACAGATTCAAATGGTTCATTTTTCATATGTACCTTGTGTTCAGACCGATAGACAGTTTACAGTGCTAACAATACTGCTGGCAAGCAGTGAATGTTTTGTATTGTAATGTTATACTTAATTTGAACTATTTTAAAACAACTGTATGTCTATTTAAACATCCTTATATGAGCCCATATTTATTAAAAGACTGCTAATATACAATAGATCTTGATGTACTCCTAGTTATGTGTCATCACAACCACATGACATAAAGGCACGTTTTTCTGTAAATCTGCGTTAAAGGGATAGTTCACCCAAAATTGAAAATGTTGTGAACATTTACTCACCCTCATGACCCAAACTTGTATGAGTTTCTTTCTTCTGTTGAACACAAAATCAGATATTCTGAAGAATGCGGGTAACCAAACAATTGACGGTAGCCATTGACTTCCATAGTGTGGAACTTCCATAGTATGGAGAGAGAAAAAAAAAACATGGAAGTCAATGGCTTCTGTAAATTATTTGAATAAGTTTATACAAATAAAAATGCCTCGACCTGGTTAGCGCTTTAGTTTCCATTGTAGATTTTGGTTAAGTGTCTGGACACACAATAATTAATATAAAGAACAACAAAGGTTTAAGTGTGTTAAATTAAAGATCACTTGGAAACACTTAGTAAACATCAGATCTGTTGTGGTTTCCTGGTATTCCTAAAAGGAAGAGATTACTTTGAATTCTGTTGAATTGTACATTGTGGATGATGGACACATGGTAGGAATTTCACTCAGGAAATCAACAAAGACAAAGTCTTATTTTAAATGAGTGATGCAGTGTTTTTCCATTCAGTGTGAAAGATGAGCCACAGTCTGATCCTGTAACGGAGACCAGAGAAGATGGACTTAAGGAAGAAAAAATGAACACACCAACAGGTTAGTCATCAATACATCTACATTCTTTGTATTTTCTGATATATGTATTCTGTCATTAATATGTTTTTGTCTTCATGGCAGATAAAGTCATTCAAACTGACCTCCAAGATAACCATGGTAAAGAGGACACCAGCACTAAACACAGAAAAAGTAAAAAGCACAAAAAACACAAAAGTAAAAAGAAGAGAAAGAAACGCAAAGAAGGAAAAGACAGCAGCTCAGACACGGAGTCTGACAAAGAGATTCAAGAACACAGGTGCAACACAGTTCTTTGTACTTACAAAAGACAAATAATAATTGTATTAATCACTTTGGATTGATTATACGTTGTGTTTTAGAAGTTAGATTTACAAAATGTGAAAACTTAACATTTGTGTCAATAGTTTATTGTGTAAAAGTCTTTATTCTTAACATCTGATCATATGTATCGTCGGATCAAGCACCAAATGGTTTCTCAAATGGTTTAAAAAAGTGGGACTATTCAAATGAATTAAAAATGGAAGTAATTAATCTCAGTGGGTTTAATTTTAATTTCATTTGGACTCTGTGGTTGTTTACAAAGTCTTAATTCCTAATGTGTTTTCCCCCCTTGTGTTTGTGTCTAAAGTGGAAAGAAAAAGAAGAGAAAGAAAAAGAAAAAAAGCAAAGATGCAGACAAAGCAAAGAGATCTGGCTCACGGTCCGAAAGCTCTTCAGCATCTGGTTCTGAATCAGAGTCTGAATCGAAACCTCCTAATGAAAATACAAAGTCCTCTTCAGCAGATAAGACTTCAAAGTCTGAGTTCAAAAACACATCTGGTGTTGGTAAACCTCAGGAGTTGCCTGACATTATTCCCAAGATGGAAAATTCAGTCCACAAAAGCACAGAAAAGGAAAGGACCAAGGAAAAGAAAAGAAGTTCTAGCAGAACATCTAAAAGTAAAGAGAGCTCCAGAGGAAGACGAACCAGATCAAGATCACCCAGACGGAAGTCAGAACGCAGGTCAAGATCCCCCAAACCAAAACGGCAATCAAAGTCAACCTCCCGCACTAGAAATAGCTCCAGAAAGAGGTCTCATCAACAGAGAGAGAGAAGTAGATCGAGGTCAAAGAGACACAACAATCGGTCCAGATCTCATTCTGTCAGAAGAGGCAAACATTCAAGATCCAGGTCACACTCCAGGCGAACTAGATCAAGGTCTGTTGTTATCTCAAGGAAAAACAGAAGGTCCACATCAAAATGTAGGTCTCGCTCGCCACGGCATAGACGCCATTCAAGGAGTAAGTCTCGATCCAGAACAAAGCCTTCAAAATCAAGGTCCATTTCGAAGTCAAGGTCTGATCTGAAACTGGAAACTGAATCAATTAAGATTAATATAGATCCAGCAGTGGACAATAGTAAAAGTTGTGAAACGCAAACAAATGTGTCTCAAAACACAACTGAGAATGGAAAAGATCCAACAGTGGCTGTGATATCTGACACCAAGTTGTCTGAAACTGCATCCAACATCTCAAATTCTGGTTTCAGTGCAGTTAGTGTCAAAGGATCTTGGCGACCAATTCCCTTCTTGGCAGTGCCATCTGAGACCATGTCTTCACAAAAGTGCGTTACACCAGAGGTGCCTTTGGAAGTGACCAATTTATCTGAAGAACCTTCAACATTCTCAACTGTTACGCCAAAAGATTCAGAGTGTGCTGCCAGTCCTGAGAAGAAAGAAACCAACGCAAATCCAACAACCAGTGGAGAAACATCAGTTGTGAAGAACTCAATGTCACCATCCCGATCTCCCAGTCAAAAAATATCCTCAAGATCCAAAGTAGCTGCACGATCCAGATCAAAGTCATCATCAAAAAAAAGAAAGTCCAGGTCGTCTTCACGGAAGTCTCGATCACCCTCTGGAAGAAAATCGCACAAGTCTAGAACAAGGAGCAAACGCTCAAAATCGAGGTCGCCTAAAAACAAAAGATCGAGATCTCGTTCACAAAGCCGTTGGAGGAAATCTCGAACTCCAGACAGAAACAGACGGTCGAAATCGAGAAAGAGGTCAGGCTCGCGTTCGAGGAGAAGATCCCGATCTGGCTCACGTTGGAGAAGAGGTTTCGGAAGCCGAACGCTAAATCAGCGGGACAGATGGAAACGAGAACCCAGTCGCTCTCCGGTCCTCATTCTCCGTAAGAAAAGATCGGCATCCGGAACTCAGCGTAGCACCAGCAAGACGCCTCCACGTCTTACAGAACTTGGTATGAAGAAACTTTGAAATTATTTCCTATGCTTTTACAGTAGCGGTCGAAAATTCAATTCAAAGAACCCTTTTCTATTGTTATATATTTAAAAATGTATCTGTGCGTCTCTCTCTACAAACAATTACTTCTAAAACAGCGATTTTATCACCTCGTTGCTAGGGAATATAATGTAGCGATCTAGTATCTTATCTTTTGTTTTATTAATAAAAATCGAGGGGAAGCGTTGACAACAAGTTTGTGTCTGTGCAGCACAATCTGTGATCTCCGACCTCGCTCTCTCTCTCTCGCTCTCTCTCGCTCTCTCTCTCTCTCTCTCTCTCTCTCTCTCTCTCTCGCTCTCGCTCTCTCTCTCTCTCTCTCTCCGTGTGTGTGTGCGAGCGAGTGATGCGTGTTGGTTAGTGTGCATCAGTTAAATCAGCGCATTAATATAGAACAGTGATTAAACTGACTTGGAAGTACCTGTGCATTAAACGGTTTTACTGCATACCTGCCAGCCTATCAGAATCCAGTATTCAGACAGACCATGAAATAAATTCAAATAGAAGACAGTTATTTTAAATTGTAATATTTCATTATTTAGTTTTTATTATATTTTTGATCAAATAAATGCAGCCTTGATGAGCACAAGAGGCTTCTTTCAAAAACATTAAAAACTTTAATTATTACAAACATTTGCCCAGTAGTGTATGGTGCATTGGTCTTCTCTTAATCTTGTTTTTTTTGTTTGTTTGTTTTTTTTCCCAGATAAAGAGCAGTTGCTGGAAATAGCTAAGGCTAATGCTGCAGCTATGTGTGCCAAGGCCGGCGTGCCAATCCCGGAGAGCCTCAGGCCCAAAGCTATTCTTCAAATTGCCTTGCCAACCCCAAATTCCACATCCTTGTCTTTATCCTTGCCAATGATGTCAAACATGACAATGAACGCTGCTATGGCTAGTATGACTGCCGCCACCATGACCGCTGCTTTGTCCAGCATGGGTGCTTTGGCTTCCTTGCCACAAATGGCACCATTACCCACAATCGTCAACAAGCCACCTTCTTCAACCACACAGAATCTCGCCAGTATTGAAGAAGCCAAAAAGAAAGTAACAAAACAGGCAAACAGCTTCAGTATTAAAGAGTTAACAGAGGTAAGGGTTGTGCCTATGCTTGCACTTTGGTGTTTCTTGATCTGCATTGAATCAACACTTTATTTAACCTTTCAGAGATGCAAAAAGATAGCCGAGAGTAAGGAAGAGATGGCCATCGCAAAACCACATGTGTCAGATGATGAAGAAGATGAAAGGCTATTTGGAGCTTCCCTTAAGGAGAATAAGGGCATCGCATTCAGTCTTGGTGTAAGTGTCTCACTTTTTCGCATCACTGTTATATCACAGTTCATACTTGAGGTTAGGGATTTGGTTAAATCATATGTGACCCTGGACCACAAAACCTGTCATAAGGGTCAAAGTTCTTAGCAATGCATATTACTAATCAAAAATTTAGTTTTGATATATTTACGGTAGGAAATTTAAAAAATATCTTCATGGAACATGATCTTTAATTAATATCCTAATGATTTTTCTAATGACCCATACGATGTATTTTTGCCTATTGCTAAAAATATACCCCAGCGACTTAAGACTGGTTTTGTGGTCCAGGGTCACATATTACAATTCAGAGTGTATTAAACTTGGCACGCGCTGTTTGTGTTATAAACATGAATTTTACCTTGAATTATACAGCTTGTTGAGGTAGGCTTTTACTTTTCTAAAGCCTCTTTCACACAGAGATTCTGGAAAATACACGGACAATGTGTCCCGTGTTTTGTCCCAGGATCGTTTGATTTTGGTTCATTCACACTGCCAGTGATTTTCCGGAATTTGTTTGTGCGTTCACATGCATCCCGTAAGATCCTGTAAAGACGTGGCATTAGGATGTGACGTGTAATGTGACTCGTACCGTTCCACTAAGCTGACGAACGATCTTAGCTTCAGGGCGGATAGTGAAGAGCTCACTGATCAATGCTTCATTCCAGTTTGCACGTTTTTTTTTTGTTGTGAATGTTGATCTGCCTTCAAAACACCCGGTAAAAGAGTCACACGATAATGTGTGTCATCACTACGACACACCCTTTACAGCACTGGTCCTGCCTTTTGTTCACACAGGGCTCATTCTGGGACTGATCCCGGCAATTTTACTAGGTCCCCATCCCGGGATCAGTCCCGGGACGTGTTTGCGTTCACACAGAAGGCACTCTGGCAGTTAACGCGCTGTGTGAAAGAGGCTTAAGATTCGATATGGGATCTTTAATTTTGCATGGTCTTTAAATTTATATTATCTTTCCCATCATCTGATGTTCACGTAAAGTTAATCTTTGAAAACAGCAGTGACATAATTAAATGTAACCAAATCATAAAATGAATGTCTGTTTTTCATACTGCACATTATATATCCTGTAATGCCTAAAAAAACACACATTATATTTGCATTTTGCATTTAGCAGACACTTAAATGCATAAATGTAAATTTAGTTTTTTTTTTTTTTATTATTTAGAAAAAATAGTGTGGCATTGTAATATTTCTTAAACATGAATTTCATGTCAAATTATGCAGCTTGCAAAAGTGGCCTTTTACTTTCCTGAGATTTGTTTTATTTTTAGTTTATTAGCATTTAAGTCTGTTTGACTTAATTTTTTAGTGTTGTAAATATTTTGTATTTAGACAGTATAGAATTCTATATATATAAAATATAGATCTAAGATTATGCAGCTTGTTGAGGTGGGCTTTTACTTTTCAGATTTTTTTTTTATTGGTCGACATTGGATATTTAATTATGCATGTCAATAACTTTTAATTTAGATTACCTTTACCATCATCTGACATTCAAAGTAAATCTTACTTGGAGTAAGAAAAATACTAACAACACCAGCAAATTATACAATGAGCATACTGTATATTATAATGCTGTGATGCCTAAATTCACTTTAAATTCACATTTTTGTGCTTTCAAAAAGTGCTTTATCAGTATTGATTGATATTGAATATTAAAATGTGCATGCTGTTTTCTGCTGTTTTTTTTTTTTTTTTTAAGTATATAGATTGACTTAGAGGAGCAAAAATAATCCCAATAATTTAATAACACTATTAAATGTATTTGATTAAAATGATAAACTTGTTTAGTTTTTTATTTATTTAGACAATATATATAGTATATAATTATAATATTGGACAGAATTTTAATATTGTTGTGTCCCTATTTTACAGTAACCGTGTTCCCATATGCCCTCTTTTCCTTCAGAACACCTCAGTAAAGTCATCCGTCCGAACCGAAACAGTCTTTGCTAAGGAGTTCCCGGTGTCTTCCGGCTCCCAGCACAGGAAGAAAGAGGCTGATGGTGCATATGGAGAATGGGTGCCGGTCGAAAAGAAAACAGAAAAGCCATCTGCATCGGGTTCTTCTGGGACTGAGGAAACTAGCAAGGACAATGATAGTGTCTTTCCTGAAGCACCTTCTCAGGTAAGTGTTTAACTTCTGAAATCAAATTAATCTCAAATAAGCCTTGTGTTCAGCTTGTATAAGCTCTTGTCTTTTGTTTCTAGCCCGTGGACATCACGTTGGCTGTCAGTGAGAGAGCGGTCGCCCAGAAGAAACTGGCAGAAAACCCTTTTGACATCAATGCCATGTGCATGCTGAATCGGGCTCAGGAGCAAGTATGTTTCCTCTTTTGGACATTGGGTTTGAGAAAGGCATCTTGGTCCATAAATCACAGAAAAATCTAATTTTGAGCTACTAGTATGAGTGTAACAGTATTGTTATTGCAAACTAAAACTTTCAAAAACGTTTTTTTTTTTTTTTTTTTTGGTGATTGGAAATATAATAAAATGTAAATATCAGATGAAAAACGTGAAGTACTAAGTATTAAAACTTCTAAAACTAGAATTTTTTTCTAAAACTTAAAAAAATAAAGCAAAATAAAAATATTTAAAAACTAATAAAAATGACAAAAGCTCATAATGAAATGACTTAAACTTAACCTAAAATTAAAATGAAAACTGAAAATATAGAAATAGAGGCTCTTTGAAAATATTTCTAAATATAATAGTATTAAAATTAAATTTGGTGTAAATATTAGATGAAAAACTTAACCGAAAATATTGCCTAAATATGTTTGTTGAAATACTGAAAATGACTAAAACTGAACAAAAAAATAAAACTATAATAGAAATATTAAAAAAACTAATAAAAATGACAAAATCACATAACAAAATGACAAAAATTACACTAAAAACTGAAAATATATAAAAAAGGGTCATTCAAAATGTTAATAAGTGCTATAATAGTATTTAATAATAATAGAAAACATAAATGTTAGATGGAAAAATTGAAATGTTGCCCTGACTAAATCAAATATTGTTAAAGTACTAAAATTACTAAAACTTAAACTCAAAAATAAAAAAGCTCTATAGAAAGATTAAAAAAATAAAAATGACAAAAGCACAAAACAAAAAAACTAAATGAAAACTGAAAATATAAAAATAAAGGTTCATTCAAAATATTCATAAATAGCATTTAAATAATATAAAACAAATATTAGAATAACTAAAGTATTGACATACTAAAATTACTAAAAATGAAATAAAAATAAAGGTATATACGAAATAAAAATGACAAGCTGAAATAATTAAATGACAAAAATGAAATGACTAAAACTTCAAATAAAATAAAAGTGGAGAATATAAAAAATAAAAACTCATTTGAATATTAGTAAATACTATAAAAGTATATAAATAATACTAAAATAACAGAGTAGTGCTCTCAGATCCATTTAACATGTTTTGTGACATTTCCCCCACAATCAGTGCAGAAAATATGAACTGCATGAATTCTGCACTAGCCTAGGTTTGAGACTCTGTTTCCATATTTCATGATTTTATAGCTCACATCTGGTAATTCATGTTCACAGGTTGATGCATGGGCCCAATCCAACACGATTCCCGGCCTCTTCACAGGCTCAACAGGCGCTCAAGTGCTCTCATCTGATGAGCTCTCTAACAGCGGCCCGCAAGCGTGGATTAAGAAGGTAAAGCCCAGTCGACGGCATCACTCATTCAATGATGTCAGACATGTATTGTGCTTGATGGTTTGTGTTTTGCATCACACACGTTGCTCAAGTGCTCTCATCTGATGAGCTCTCTAACAGCGGCCCGCAAGCGTGGATTAAGAAGGTAAAGCCATGAGTCGACGGCATCACTCATTCAATGATGTCAGACATGTATTGTGCTTGATGGTTTGTGTTTTGCATCACACACGTGTGTTAAATTTCCTAGAATCAAAGTATACATCATTTCCTCATGCACGTTGGCACAGTACAGTCAGACCCTTTTGACTTATTGTGCTTAATTTAGATTTACACTCTTCTGACAAAAGCTCACATGGCCCATGGAGGGTAAAATAGATCCTGAAACGCTCAAAATACCCATCATCCCCTCTTATAAAATGTCATATACGGAAGAATTGTCATCTGTGATTACTTTGCCAATTGGTGTACCCAACTTCGTTGATCAGACCGAAGTCCAGTCAGTCGCACAATGATAGTCTGCTTTTTATGTAACAAGCATCGATTTTGCACTGAAGATGACGTCAAGGTATCCATGGAAATGATCTTGCCAAAAGACAGCTCAGAGCTGTGTTTACTGACGTCATTATGCTTTTTCAACTGGAAGAAAGAGAAACGGCTTCCTCTTGTAAGTGCAAATATTTGCCCGCATCACAATGTTTTGAGGTTCTCTGATTAAACCCACAGTTGATACGGGTACACCACTTGTGCACGGTCATGCAGATATTTTATATCTGAAATTCTGTCGTAGCAGATGCATTGATAGATGGGGCAGTGCATCTCACTATACTCCTCTAAATGTGTCTTTTGAGAGAGGGGAGGAAGGAAGAGGAAGTAAGTTTCTCCACCCCTCCTCTGAATGACCAATGAGTAGAGACATTCACATCAGGATCCGAAATTGGATTGGAAGAGCCACTTTTGGAAAATAGCCAATGTATGCACACCTGTGACCACACTTTTACACCATTAACAGCCTATAGTTAGATTAATGAACTGTAGTAATGTACACTATTGTTCAAAAAGTTGGGGTCGGGTTTGAAAGAAATCTCTTCTGCTCACCAAGAAATATTTATTTGATCAAAAATACAGTCGAAATTGTGAAAGGATAAACTAATAAAAATGGCAATAGCACATAACAAAATTACTACAACTTGACCTAAAATTGAAACCTGGAAATATAAATATTTTAAATTAGCCATTATTTTCATACAAGTATAATAGGGTTAAAATAATATAAAATGTATCAATATTTTATAAATGTAAAAATTAGAAATGTTGCCTTTACAACATGATGTAGTGGTAAAACTAAAACTGAAATAAATCTATAATACAAATACAACTTTGATCCTTCAGAAATCATTCTAATATGATGATTTGTTGCATAAGAAACATTTCAGATTATTTTCTGGGGGTTTTTTGTGGAAACGGTAATACATTTCATTTTTCAAAATTAAAGAAAGTTCAAAAGAACAGCATTTATTTGGAGTAGAAATCCTTTGTAATATTATAGATGTCTGTCACTTTTGATCAAATTAATGTGTCCTTGCTGAATAAAATGTTATTTACTGACCCCAAATATTGAACAGTAGTGAAGTTATTCATTGAAAATTGGTGTATTATATTGATGTTTCTGTCACTTTATTAAAGCAATAAATCACTTGAAGTTGTATGTTATAGTTATTCTATGAGTTTTAAATGTACACAACACCTTTCAATCAATATGTACAAGTGTGATTTTAGCAGAGAGACTCATTTTCCTGAAGGCTTTGGATGCTGATCGCTATGTAATGCAAACCTTTACATTAAGACACGATAATCCCAGTTTTTATTTAGACTTGGGATGCTAAATAAATGCTAGCAAAATACCTTGGTCCCTATTAAAAAAGACCAAAGCATTCACACAACCAAATGTCTCAGGGCAGTGTTTCCAAAATGGCCAAATTTGCCTAGATACGAGCCTAAATGAATCCTGGGATAGGTTTAGAGCTCACTCTTGACTTAAGAGCGGGATCCAAAATGTTCAAATGATATCAAAGGTTGTATCTGATTCCCGGTCTTTTGTCTAAAAATGACTGCTGTGTCAAAAGGGCCTGGTCATGCACTAACTGCAATCAAAACAATGTTTGATCTTCTTGGGATTTGGCATCCAGTGGGTGCAAGGTTGAAGTTCATTGGTGGGGTTGGTGGGTTTGGGACACGGATGGACGAGGGGTGGGGGCTCACAGTTTGACCTGTGAACTCTCACCCCTCTGTATGGAAACTTGTTGCAGGGTCAGTCCTTGTAGCTGCCTTGTTGCCATGGTCACAGTCTATTCACGTCAGATGCTCGGCCGATGATGGGGGCCTAGGTACGTACGTCCTCCAGCACCCTTCCTTCTATTCATGTGGATTTGTGTGTGAACTGATTTATTTCTGCCATGTCCTCCTGTTTGTTTACAATGAACCGACTCAGAGCCTGAGATCTGTTCAGGATGGTATTATTGATGCTTTGCCTGTTGAAGGCTCGCACCTTAAATTACTCGTCTTATGTAAAAAATGCACTGCCGCTCAAAAGTTTGGAATTATGTTTAATGTTTTTGAAAGTCTTTGCTCACCAATGCTGCATTTATTTGATCAAAAAATACAGTAAAAATTGTGAAATAATATTCCAATTTAGAATAGTTTTCTGTTTGAATGTATATATTTTAAAATGTATTTTATTCCTGTGATGCAACGCTGGATTTTCAGCATCATTACTTCAGTCTTCAGTGTCACATCATCTTTCAGAAATCATTTTAATATGCTAATTTGCTGATTAAGAAACATTTTTGATTATTATCAGTGTTGAAAACAGTTGTGCTGCTTCCTATTTTTGTGGAAACCATGATACATTTTATTTTTCAAGATTCTTTGATGAATAGAAAGTTCAATAGAACAGCATTTCTGTGAAATAGAAATCTTTTGTAACAACATAAATGTCTTCACTGTCAATTTTGATCAGTTTGCAGTGTCCATGTTTTTTTTTTTTAATTCATAAAAATATAAAGCAACACGATTGTTCTCAATATTGATATTACATTATAAGAATTGTTTCCTGAACAGCAAATTAACATATAAGAATGATTTCTGAAGGATCATGTGACACTGAAGACTACAGAAAATTCAGCTTTGCATCACAGAAATAAATGAAATTTTTAATTATATTCAAATAGAAAACTTTTTTTATTGTAACAATATTTCACAATATTACTATTTTTACTGTATGTTTGATCAAATAAATGCATCATTGGTGAGCAGAAGAAACTTCTTTCAAAAACATAAAAAAAATCATAATTACCCCAAACTTCTGATCGATAGTGTTACATTTTTTTTTTCTTTTTTTTTTCTACTTATTTAGGCATTTACACCTGCTGCAGGTGAGAAATAAAGGACTCTACATTTAAACATTTCACATATTCTTAAAATAGTTAAAATAGAATCTCAGAAGGCTATTATATCTAATATTTTAATTCAAACACAGCTCCAGTTGAAGTGACGTGACCTTGCTGCTCTGAATGAGCGTATCTCTCACTGCTTCCCGTTTCTCTTCGTTTGCCTCTCTCTCTCTGTCTGAATCTGTCTCGTTCCATTCAGGACCAGTTCCTGCGGGCGGCGCCGGTCTCTGGTGGGATGGGGGAGTTATTGATGAGGAAGATGGGATGGCATTCAGGGGAGGGTTTGGGGAAGCACAGAGAAGGAACAGTGGAGCCCATCATTATAGACTTCAAAACGGACCGCAAGGGTAAGAAGAGGCTGTGCAGAAATCATTGAGCCATATTGTCATGACTGAGACCATAGTGCTGGATGTTTCTGTCCATACAGGACTTGTAGCAGAAGGAGAAAAAACCCAGAAATCTGGCAACATTGTTGTGATGAAGGATCTTCTAGGTGAGTGTTTGGTACATAATTTAAAAAAAAAATCATGTTCAAATGTGTGTATTAAATATGATCATCAGGCTTCTAAGGAATTTTTTTTCCAGAACCTGTACTTTCACTGTTCCTCAGTGGAGGAATGATCTTCTCAAGCCTCTAAAACAGGTGTCTCCAAACTGGGTCCTGGAGGGCCAGATGTTTCTGTCCATACAGGACTTGTAGCAGAAGGAGAAAAAACCCAGAAATCTGGCAACATTGTTGTGATGAAGGATCTTCTAGGTGAGTGTTTGGTACATAATTTAAAAAAAAATCATGTTCAAATGTGTGTATTAAATATGATCATCAGGCTTCTAAGGAATTTTTTTTTCCAGAACCTGTACTTTCACTGTTCCTCAGTGGAGGAATGATCTTCTCAAGCCTCTAAAACAGGTGTCTCCAAACTGGGTCCTGGAGGGCCACGGTCCTGCAGAGTGTAGCTCCAACCCTAATTAAACACACTTAACCAGCTAACTAAGGTCTTACTAGGCATCCTAGAATCTTCCAGGCAGGTGTGTTGAGGCAAGTTGGAGCTAAACTCTGCAGGACACCGGCCCTCCAGAACCTCTGCTCTAAAACATCTAAATCTTTTGAGGAACATTTATTATCTCTCAATCATGATTTTATTGCATTATACGTATTGGTAATTAAACTAAGCATTTAAATATCATCTTAACAAGACATATTACTTGGAGCTATAGAATGACGACTGATATTTATATCATTTCTCAAGATCTCATTGATTTACATTACAAGGATCAGAATTTCATCTTACATTTTGTCCATGTAAATATCAGCATCTGCAGCAAATTGCATTTATTTGCTCAGTTTGCGCCTCTAAATAAAACTGCTGTTTTTTTCCCCTCCATATTCTTACCATATCAGACTATATGAACCATAAAAGCCTGATGGATCAAATATGATACTCAAACAAAAACACGTATGCAAACTTTTTTCTTTAGATTTTTTAAATAATATTTTGTCTGAAAGATCAGCAAACTGTTCATGACTATTAATTCATACGTCAGGCTTTACATGGTTAAATCAGATGCTGAAGTCGGAGGGAAATAACTGGTTGATGATCACAAATCCTCTTGCAAATGTACAATCCACCGGGTTTATAGGAATTCGGATATGATGTTTATTCTGCAGGGAAGCATCCGGTATCTGCTCTGATGGAAATGTGCAATAAGAAGAAGTGGCCACAGCCAGAGTTTGTGTTGGTTCACCACAGCGGACCCGACCACCGCAAGAACTTTCTCTTCAAGGTTTGTGCTTAGTTTTAAAATGATTATTTTAAATATCATTCTTATACTATTTTAAAGTACAATAATGTAAAATGCATTAAATATAAAACCAGTAGTTTCAAATGAGTTGTGAATTTAGACATCACAATAATATAATTGAAACTAGGGCTGCGCAATATTGATAAATTAAAAAAAAGATAGACATTGCAAAATTTAGTTTTTCTGTGTTATGAAAAACAGTCATTCTACAATGATTGAATCTGCATAGAACATAATTTTAAAAATGACTTTTTACTGAATACTATTTTGAGTGTCAACTATCCTTTTGGGGCTGAACGGATAGGAAGAACTTGAAAAAGTTGGGTGTTCACACTTGCGTTTTTTCTTTACAAGAATCAGCTCAAACTATTTTCAGTAACCATAAAGTGAACTTAATCAAAGTCTCTTTAAGGCAAGTCATTTCACTCGGGCGGCCATCTTTGAAACGCCTCTCGGGCATGCAAGTGCAGCTGCTATCTGACAAATCTGACAAAAACGTCTCGTAAATGTTGTTTCATTTGCTCAAATAGTGTTTAAAAAAAGCGTATTTTTCAGACTATACCAGCCAATGCACATGCACAGTCCTAAGCGCACATCTCAGAATGCTGACTGTTTCTATAGAAACCGGGACTTCTAACGGTAGCTGCAGTGACGCACTGTCTTTACCGATAAACGATTGGCTCTTCTACTCAGAAGGCGGGGCTTCGTTTGATAAAGTTGCCATATTGAGCGTTGCATTTTCCCCATTCAGAACTACAAGTGACACTAAGTCTTGGGTATTCTATAGTCTTTGACTTAATCTCTTTCCTCTCAAGTTATCATAGGCCATATTCCCACAGTTTTTATCCTGTTCAATATCATTTTTACTATACAAAATGGATTATTAATTTTTTGTATAATTTAAAGGAGTAGTTCACTTCCAGAATTTTTTTTTACAGATAATGTACTCACCCCCTTGTCATCCAAGATGTTCATGTCTTTCTTTCTTCAGTCGTAAAGAAATTATGTGTTTTGAGGAAAACATTTCAGGATTTCTCGCCATATAATGGACTTCTCTGGTGCCCCCGAGTTTGAACTTCCAAAATGCAGTTTAAATGCAGCATCAAAGGGCTCTAAACGATCCCAGCCAAGGAAGAAGGGTCTTATCTAGCGAAGCGATCGGTTATTTTCTAAAATAAAAATCTACAATTTATAAACTTTTTAACCTCAGACGCTCGTCTTGTCTAGCTCTGCGTGGACTCTGTTTTTTCCAGTTCATGACAGTTAGGGTATGTCGAAAAACTCCCATCTCATTTTCTCCTCCAACTTCAAAATCGCCCTACATCACTGTTTTACCGTTTTTTTTTGTAAAGGGCATTTGATCTTCTTTGCATGTTCACTTTGTAAACACTGGGTCGGTGGGATGGGGGAGTTATTGATGAGGAAGATGGGATGGCATTCAGGGGAGGGTTTGGGGAAGCACAGAGAAGGAACAGTGGAGCCCATCATTATAGACTTCAAAACGGACCGCAAGGGTAAGAAGAGGCTGTGCAGAAATCATTGAGCCATATTGTCATGACTGAGACCATAGTGCTGGATGTTTCTGTCCATACAGGACTTGTAGCAGAAGGAGAAAAAACCCAGAAATCTGGCAACATTGTTGTGATGAAGGATCTTCTAGGTGAGTGTTTGGTACATAATTTAAAAAAAAAATCATGTTCAAATGTGTGTATTAAATATGATCATCAGGCTTCTAAGGAATTTTTTTTCCAGAACCTGTACTTTCACTGTTCCTCAGTGGAGGAATGATCTTCTCAAGCCTCTAAAACAGGTGTCTCCAAACTGGGTCCTGGAGGGCCACGGTCCTGCAGAGTGTAGCTCCAACCCTAATTAAACACACTTAACCAGCTAACTAAGGTCTTACTAGGCATCCTAGAATCTTCCAGGCAGGTGTGTTGAGGCAAGTTGGAGCTAAACTCTGCAGGACACCGGCCCTCCAGAACCTCTGCTCTAAAACATCTAAATCTTTTGAGGAACATTTATTATCTCTCAATCATGATTTTATTGCATTATACGTATTGGTAATTAAACTAAGCATTTAAATATCATCTTAACAAGACATATTACTTGGAGCTATAGAATGACGACTGATATTTATATCATTTCTCAAGATCTCATTGATTTACATTACAAGGATCAGAATTTCATCTTACATTTTGTCCATGTAAATATCAGCATCTGCAGCAAATTGCATTTATTTGCTCAGTTTGCGCCTCTAAATAAAACTGCTGTTTTTTTCCCCTCCATATTCTTACCATATCAGACTATATGAACCATAAAAGCCTGATGGATCAAATATGATACTCAAACAAAAACACGTATGCAAACTTTTTTCTTTAGATTTTTTAAATAATATTTTGTCTGAAAGATCAGCAAACTGTTCATGACTATTAATTCATACGTCAGGCTTTACATGGTTAAATCAGATGCTGAAGTCGGAGGGAAATAACTGGTTGATGATCACAAATCCTCTTGCAAATGTACAATCCACCGGGTTTATAGGAATTCGGATATGATGTTTATTCTGCAGGGAAGCATCCGGTATCTGCTCTGATGGAAATGTGCAATAAGAAGAAGTGGCCACAGCCAGAGTTTGTGTTGGTTCACCACAGCGGACCCGACCACCGCAAGAACTTTCTCTTCAAGGTTTGTGCTTAGTTTTAAAATGATTATTTTAAATATCATTCTTATACTATTTTAAAGTACAATAATGTAAAATGCATTAAATATAAAACCAGTAGTTTCAAATGAGTTGTGAATTTAGACATCACAATAATATAATTGAAACTAGGGCTGCGCAATATTGATAAATTAAAAAAAAGATAGACATTGCAAAATTTAGTTTTTCTGTGTTATGAAAAACAGTCATTCTACAATGATTGAATCTGCATAGAACATAATTTTAAAAATGACTTTTTACTGAATACTATTTTGAGTGTCAACTATCCTTTTGGGGCTGAACGGATAGGAAGAACTTGAAAAAGTTGGGTGTTCACACTTGCGTTTTTTCTTTACAAGAATCAGCTCAAACTATTTTCAGTAACCATAAAGTGAACTTAATCAAAGTCTCTTTAAGGCAAGTCATTTCACTCGGGCGGCCATCTTTGAAACGCCTCTCGGGCATGCAAGTGCAGCTGCTATCTGACAAATCTGACAAAAACGTCTCGTAAATGTTGTTTCATTTGCTCAAATAGTGTTTAAAAAAAGCGTATTTTTCAGACTATACCAGCCAATGCACATGCACAGTCCTAAGCGCACATCTCAGAATGCTGACTGTTTCTATAGAAACCGGGACTTCTAACGGTAGCTGCAGTGACGCACTGTCTTTACCGATAAACGATTGGCTCTTCTACTCAGAAGGCGGGGCTTCGTTTGATAAAGTTGCCATATTGAGCGTTGCATTTTCCCCATTCAGAACTACAAGTGACACTAAGTCTTGGGTATTCTATAGTCTTTGACTTAATCTCTTTCCTCTCAAGTTATCATAGGCCATATTCCCACAGTTTTTATCCTGTTCAATATCATTTTTACTATACAAAATGGATTATTAATTTTTTGTATAATTTAAAGGAGTAGTTCACTTCCAGAATTTTTTTTTACAGATAATGTACTCACCCCCTTGTCATCCAAGATGTTCATGTCTTTCTTTCTTCAGTCGTAAAGAAATTATGTGTTTTGAGGAAAACATTTCAGGATTTCTCTCCATATAATGGACTTCTCTGGTGCCCCCGAGTTTGAACTTCCAAAATGCAGTTTAAATGCAGCATCAAAGGGCTCTAAACGATCCCAGCCAAGGAAGAAGGGTCTTATCTAGCGAAGCGATCGGTTATTTTCTAAAATAAAAATCTACAATTTATAAACTTTTTAACCTCAGACGCTCGTCTTGTCTAGCTCTGCGTGGACTCTGTTTTTTCCAGTTCATGACAGTTAGGGTATGTCGAAAAACTCCCATCTCATTTTCTCCTCCAACTTCAAAATCGTCCTACATCGCTGCAGAAGCACCGACCCAGTGTTTACAAAGTGAACATGCAAAGAAGGCCAAACGCCCTTTACACAAAATGGTAAAACAGTGATGTAGGACGATTTATTTATAATATACTAAGTCTTAGGCCATTAGTATTTTCACCAACAAAAAAATTGTTTTAAACCAATTATTACTATATGTTGCTTTAGTGTGTTAGTAGGAAATAACAGTTTACTTTTCCAAACATTCCTTTTGCCATTAATTGTAATAATCCAGTGATATTTTTGTATGCACAAGGAGTCTGACAACAACCAGTGCTCCACACAGAGATCTGATCCCACCATTATCCAGTCTGTCTGGAAAAACTGAGACAGACTAAATCCAGAGGAACTTAAATAAGTTTTTTTTCCTAGATGCACATGTGCATAGTTTTTCAGGTAGCTTTACAGGAAGGTTTCTTGTAGCATCTTTGAGATGTTGCCACAGTTTCTCCGGATTTAGTCTGTCTCAGTTTTTACTGTTTCTTCATGTAATCCCAGACAGACTGGATGATGATGAGATCTGGGACCTCATTTATAAAATGTGCGTACGCACAGATTTGATCTTAGAGTGTGTACGCTAAAATCCACGGCAATGTTCATATTTATAAAAACGGTCTTTCAAGTGGAAAAGTACTTACCGTCACGTCAGGGTCTGAGCAGGCGTACGCACTTTTCCTTGTGGCAAAGTCGGAGTACTGTAGCTATTTGAACATCTAAGCTGCAATAATAATAAAAGCGGTGTATGTGCAAGCACCGAATTCATCAAAACAACAAAGATGCAGTGTAAGAGATTAATTGTGCAGTGTAGTCAGATTTTTTATTAACGGGCGTTTTTGCGAGATTAAACTGACATTTTTAGTAGCCTGATATTGAGAGTTCTTTACTCGCTTTCTGTTTATTCCATGTTGTTGTTTTTTTATTTTATTTTACAAGAGAACTTGCAAAGTCTTGATTTACTACTAATGCATAAAATAGAAAATAAATAATATAAATATATAATATAAATAAATGCATCTCAGGCTGTTTTGTCTGCTTTGCTTCTGTGAAAATGAATAGAGACATCAGCCTTAAACTTTGTTTTTGTCATTTACATCAGTTATATTTGTATAAAATACACTATATATTTTTGTGTCAGTACATTAATCCCTAATTAAACACACTTAACCAGCTAACTAAGGTCTTACTAGGCATCCTAGAATCTTCCAGGCAGGTGTGTTGAGGCAAGTTGGAGCTAAACTCTGCAGGACACCGGCCCTCCAGAACCTCTGCTCTAAAACATCTAAATCTTTTGAGGAACATTTATTATCTCTCAATCATGATTTTATTGCATTATACGTATTGGTAATTAAACTAAGCATTTAAATATCATCTTAACAAGACATATTACTTGGAGCTATAGAATGACGACTGATATTTATATCATTTCTCAAGATCTCATTGATTTACATTACAAGGATCAGAATTTCATCTTACATTTTGTCCATGTAAATATCAGCATCTGCAGCAAATTGCATTTATTTGCTCAGTTTGCGCCTCTAAATAAAACTGCTGTTTTTTTCCCCTCCATATTCTTACCATATCAGACTATATGAACCATAAAAGCCTGATGGATCAAATATGATACTCAAACAAAAACACGTATGCAAACTTTTTTCTTTAGATTTTTTAAATAATATTTTGTCTGAAAGATCAGCAAACTGTTCATGACTATTAATTCATACGTCAGGCTTTACATGGTTAAATCAGATGCTGAAGTCGGAGGGAAATAACTGGTTGATGATCACAAATCCTCTTGCAAATGTACAATCCACCGGGTTTATAGGAATTCGGATATGATGTTTATTCTGCAGGGAAGCATCCGGTATCTGCTCTGATGGAAATGTGCAATAAGAAGAAGTGGCCACAGCCAGAGTTTGTGTTGGTTCACCACAGCGGACCCGACCACCGCAAGAACTTTCTCTTCAAGGTTTGTGCTTAGTTTTAAAATGATTATTTTAAATATCATTCTTATACTATTTTAAAGTACAATAATGTAAAATGCATTAAATATAAAACCAGTAGTTTCAAATGAGTTGTGAATTTAGACATCACAATAATATAATTGAAACTAGGGCTGCGCAATATTGATAAATTAAAAAAAAGATAGACATTGCAAAATTTAGTTTTTCTGTGTTATGAAAAACAGTCATTCTACAATGATTGAATCTGCATAGAACATAATTTTAAAAATGACTTTTTACTGAATACTATTTTGAGTGTCAACTATCCTTTTGGGGCTGAACGGATAGGAAGAACTTGAAAAAGTTGGGTGTTCACACTTGCGTTTTTTCTTTACAAGAATCAGCTCAAACTATTTTCAGTAACCATAAAGTGAACTTAATCAAAGTCTCTTTAAGGCAAGTCATTTCACTCGGGCGGCCATCTTTGAAACGCCTCTCGGGCATGCAAGTGCAGCTGCTATCTGACAAATCTGACAAAAACGTCTCGTAAATGTTGTTTCATTTGCTCAAATAGTGTTTAAAAAAAGCGTATTTTTCAGACTATACCAGCCAATGCACATGCACAGTCCTAAGCGCACATCTCAGAATGCTGACTGTTTCTATAGAAACCGGGACTTCTAACGGTAGCTGCAGTGACGCACTGTCTTTACCGATAAACGATTGGCTCTTCTACTCAGAAGGCGGGGCTTCGTTTGATAAAGTTGCCATATTGAGCGTTGCATTTTCCCCATTCAGAACTACAAGTGACACTAAGTCTTGGGTATTCTATAGTCTTTGACTTAATCTCTTTCCTCTCAAGTTATCATAGGCCATATTCCCACAGTTTTTATCCTGTTCAATATCATTTTTACTATACAAAATGGATTATTAATTTTTTGTATAATTTAAAGGAGTAGTTCACTTCCAGAATTTTTTTTTACAGATAATGTACTCACCCCCTTGTCATCCAAGATGTTCATGTCTTTCTTTCTTCAGTCGTAAAGAAATTATGTGTTTTGAGGAAAACATTTCAGGATTTCTCGCCATATAATGGACTTCTCTGGTGCCCCCGAGTTTGAACTTCCAAAATGCAGTTTAAATGCAGCATCAAAGGGCTCTAAACGATCCCAGCCAAGGAAGAAGGGTCTTATCTAGCGAAGCGATCGGTTATTTTCTAAAATAAAAATCTACAATTTATAAACTTTTTAACCTCAGACGCTCGTCTTGTCTAGCTCTGCGTGGACTCTGTTTTTTCCAGTTCATGACAGTTAGGGTATGTCGAAAAACTCCCATCTCATTTTCTCCTCCAACTTCAAAATCGTCCTACATCGCTGCAGAAGCACCGACCCAGTGTTTACAAAGTGAACATGCAAAGAAGGCCAAACGCCCTTTACACAAAATGGTAAAACAGTGATGTAGGACGATTTATTTATAATATACTAAGTCTTAGGCCATTAGTATTTTCACCAACAAAAAAATTGTTTTAAACCAATTATTACTATATGTTGCTTTAGTGTGTTAGTAGGAAATAACAGTTTACTTTTCCAAACATTCCTTTTGCCATTAATTGTAATAATCCAGTGATATTTTTGTATGCACAAGGAGTCTGACAACAACCAGTGCTCCACACAGAGATCTGATCCCACCATTATCCAGTCTGTCTGGAAAAACTGAGACAGACTAAATCCAGAGGAACTTAAATAAGTTTTTTTTCCTAGATGCACATGTGCATAGTTTTTCAGGTAGCTTTACAGGAAGGTTTCTTGTAGCATCTTTGAGATGTTGCCACAGTTTCTCCGGATTTAGTCTGTCTCAGTTTTTACTGTTTCTTCATGTAATCCCAGACAGACTGGATGATGATGAGATCTGGGACCTCATTTATAAAATGTGCGTACGCACAGATTTGATCTTAGAGTGTGTACGCTAAAATCCACGGCAATGTTCATATTTATAAAAACGGTCTTTCAAGTGGAAAAGTACTTACCGTCACGTCAGGGTCTGAGCAGGCGTACGCACTTTTCCTTGTGGCAAAGTCGGAGTACTGTAGCTATTTGAACATCTAAGCTGCAATAATAATAAAAGCGGTGTATGTGCAAGCACCGAATTCATCAAAACAACAAAGATGCAGTGTAAGAGATTAATTGTGCAGTGTAGTCAGATTTTTTATTAACGGGCGTTTTTGCGAGATTAAACTGACATTTTTAGTAGCCTGATATTGAGAGTTCTTTACTCGCTTTCTGTTTATTCCATGTTGTTGTTTTTTTATTTTATTTTACAAGAGAACTTGCAAAGTCTTGATTTACTACTAATGCATAAAATAGAAAATAAATAATATAAATATATAATATAAATAAATGCATCTCAGGCTGTTTTGTCTGCTTTGCTTCTGTGAAAATGAATAGAGACATCAGCCTTAAACTTTGTTTTTGTCATTTACATCAGTTATATTTGTATAAAATACACTATATATTTTTGTGTCAGTACATTAATGGCACATTTGAGCAGCATTAGTAAACTGTGTAAATATAAAGAAATGCCAAATCACATGCAGGTTTTTTCAGACCAGAGACCATAATCGTGTAATAATTTATTTTATTATGATATGATATGTTTTTTTTTAAGTTTTGCAAGAATTTTGTGATACTAAACTTTTTATTAGTTGTCATAGCAAGTGATTTTAAAAGTAGGATGACTGCTTTTTATAAGATAACTGAAAAGAGCAGTATTAGTAAACTGTGTAAATATAAAGAAATGCCAAATCACATGCAGGTTTTTTCAGACCAGAGACCATAATCGTGTAATAATTTATTTTATTATGATATGATATGTTTTTTTTTAAGTTTTGCAAGAATTTTGTGATACTAAACTTTTTATTAGTTGTCATAGCAAGTGATTTTAAAAGTAGGATGACTGCTTTTTATAAGATAACTGAAAATGTTACTTGAATTCGTAGTTTATTCTTACTTTTGGAAACCTAATTGTTTTGTTATTATTATTATTATTATTATTATTTCTGTTGTTTCTAGTAGTAGTAATTTTGATAATAGTCAATAAAAAAAATATATAACCACACACACATTGTTTGTCCACAGAATAGTTACTTATTATTAAATAAAAAGCGTCCCCGCACGAACCTCTTCCTCTTCGCCAGCAGGACCTCAATTTCAGACTTTTTTGTGCTCGTCATTCTCAAGCATCGAAATTCAGATATTGGCGTGTGCTCTTTTATATGGTAATGATATTAATTAGGGGGCGTTTAAAAGGCGGAGATCTGACACCAGTCAGCTGCGCACAATTTCAAGATCATTTGCGATTTATAAAATGTCACATCTGGAAGAGAGGCGTACGCACGTGTTTTTGTGCGCACGTTCGTTTTCTCTGAATCGCACTTACGCACTTTTGAGAAATTATCTTCCAACAAATTTAGGACGCTTTATATGCAACATTTTATAAATGAGGCCCCAGATCTCTGTGTGGAGCACTGGCTGTTGTCAGACTCCTTGTGCATACAAAAATATCACTGGATTATTACAATTAATGGCAAAAGGAATGTTTGGAAAAGTAAACTGTTATTTCCTACTGACGCACTAAAGAAAAATATAGAAATACCTGGCTTAAAACCATTTTTTGTTGGTGAAAATACTAATGGCCTAAGACTTTTGCACAGTACTGTGTGTGTGTGTGTGTGTATATATATATATATATTCTTAGTATCTTAATAAGTAATAATACTATTGTGCTGTAAAATAAAAATATGTATTTAATACAATTATTTATATAGGGTTTTTATATCTTATTTATATCTTGACTGAAAGTATTAAATACTGGTTTCACTAAATAATAGTTTTGAATCAGAGATTGTGCATTCAGCCCCAAATACATAGTTTTGTGTCAGTCAGATGTGTTTGTGTGAACAGGTGGTGGTGAACGGATGTGATTATCAGCCTCAGACTGCCAGTCCCAATAAGAAACACGCCAAGGCGATGGCAGCCACGGTCGCACTGCAGGCCATGGGAGAGGTGGCAGGTGACAGCGTTCATACAGGCCCTGTGTTCACAGCGGCCACCAGCACATGATGCCAGCGCACAACACGCTCTGACACATTAGCTTGATTTCATTTCTCATGTTGTCCATTAAAGCAATATCATCTTTATGTGGCATATCTGTAAGTATTTTTGTAATCTTGGTCTTTTTTTTTTTAACCTTTTCCCACTTGATTTGGTAAACTGATGGCCTTGATGACTATGTAGTTGACTAGATTTGGACCATGAAGATTTGTGTTTGTTGCATTTGTTTCGAATGGCTCCATTGTTTTAAACTTGTGTCTGTTCTTGTAAATGTTTCAGGCATGCTTTAAAACTCTTTTATCTTTATAAAGTTCTAACGTTTTACCAGCCCCCAGTCCGTTACATCTACTTAGGAAGTCTTCTGTTCTGTTGCTGGCAGAGAACATGTTTTTGTGATGAAACAGAATAAATGGAAAATCATGTCACTGGAAAATTATGCTCTTTATTGTGTACGGTCAGTTTCACATATTCCCTTTAGAAAAATGACAAATTAAAAAGTGATTTCTGTTTGCTCTCAATTCACTAGAAGGTTAAGTAGCTTTGTAAAAATACTTAACTTATTTTAGGTCATCAGTTCGAGAATTAAATTCTAAAGCACATCATACAAACTGCAATCAAACAAACAAAAACATAATCTGCATGTTCTTTTCAGTTTTAGCAATAATATTGTGCACCGCAGCTGTCATCTGGATCTTTATATAGTTATGGTTTCTGCAGGTCTTAATTCACCCTTCTACAAAGTAAGGCCTTAAATCAGAGCAGAGTCTTAAATGCATGAAGTCATGGCATTAAGTTTTGCATGCACTGCAAAAAAATATATATTTTCTATATTTTTGTTTTCCAATATAAATATCTAAACATCCTTAAATCAGGATACATTTTCTTGGGATGCAAATGTAAAATTGAAAAAAAACTTAAGTTTTTATTCTTAAATCAAGAGCAAATATCTATCTTTCAATGGGGAATGAAAACTTGGTTTGCCTTTGAATTAAGATTGGGGGGGGTCCAGGCAAAATACCGAGCTCGGAGCCCTCTCCCTGGACGGGGGGAGTACTCCGGGTTTGGGAGAAATTACCGAGCTCTGAGCCCTGTCCCTGGACAGCATGCCAAATACGCATACCATTTATCCCGCTTTATCTGCAGAGCGAACTCGTGAACTTTACTTGGTCTTAAATGTACCTTTATAAAACCTACAGAAACGCTAGTAATGTCACAATGATTTCAACAAACAATGTCCAGGTCATTTTATAAATAAAAAATAAATCAGTCACATGTTTTAATCTAAGGCAAGGGTTAGTTATTAAAATCCTGCCAGAGCTTATTTTTCTGAAATGGTTTATAATGCAGGGTTTCTGTTAACGTTAAAAAAAAAGGTTGAAGATATAGTATATTTCTGGAATTTATAGAATTAAAAGATTTTTATAACATTTTAAAGTATTGAATTGTATTGAATACTGTAAATTAACAGTAGAGCTCCACAGATAAAACACGGTATATATACATAAAGACTACAGATGCAAAAGCTTCTAAGTGTCGTCTGAAATTGTCTTAAAAAATTATCATTTTTATCAGGCTCCTATTTTCAGATTCAGTTATTTCACTTTAATGCAATGAAAAGGACCTGTTTATTGCCTTGCCATTAAACTGAAATCACTGAACCTAAACATAGGAGCCTGATAAAAATGATCATTTTAGAAGAAATTTTTCATGCCACTTAGAGGCATCTGAAGATATATACTGTATATATATATATCATATTTTGTTGAACTTACTTGTACATTTTTACAGCTCACAAAATCATCTGTTTGGTTGGAAATGTCTGAAACTTCAACACCTTCATTACTTTTCACGTGATGACTCAGATTCTTCCAAATACCAGCAATAAACCCAGAACGACCGCAGTAAGAAGCAGAACTCCACTGATGAGACCGATGCGGATCCAGGGAGTCTCATCCAAGAGGAACTTGAGAGGATCACGCTGACCTGAGAGGGAACATCTCACATTAAATATTAATAGCTGAAACTGGGGAAAATGTTCATGCTGAAAGTTCATCTCAGCCTATTGTTTTCCTACTGTTGTTTACAGTTTAGAGAATTTGTGGCCTTTGATCTTTTGACAGACTTTTCTTTGATCTCTGAAATTAAAGAGCTTATAACACTGCTCTGTGGAATAATTGATTCTGATTGGTCAGTCGCGACATACCGAGGTATGTTATCCCTCGATAACAACCGGTAAAAGCTAATAACAGGCTCATCCAGGTAACTGAAGTCGGCTCTATACTCTTGCTATGAACAGTTTTTCTTGGTGGAAGTTTTGCGTTTGGTTAGCTAATAAAATATTACAACTCAATTCAATATTATGTGTACAATTATTTACGTCATCCTGGTATCGCACACTCACTCTCTCGTTTTGCAACTGCTGCCATTTTGCGACGATTGTTTTGTTCACTGTAATGGATTATAACATAACTAACAAACTGGTAAGATTTTTAAACATTTTCATCTTAAATCAATATCTTTTACCGCCATAATTATTTGTGTGGTGAAATGTTGTGTAATAAGTGGTATGACGGCACCGTATCCCTTAAATGTCCATTTAGTTTGAAATTGCCGCTTGCTAGCAACTGCAGTCTTCACGGAAGCTTTGTTCAAATATTTCAACTCCGCTTGCTAGCAACTGCTGTCTTCACGGAAATATTTAATGTCTAATTATTTACTTATGAGGCAAGAATCTGTCCTGCTTCACGTCGGGGTCCTGCTCACTCTGTCAGGGGTTATTCTGTGATAACAACCGGCTAAATGTACATTATCCCTTACTTGATCTTCAATGAAAACATACTGTAACTTTCAGAACTCAGAAAAAGCATTTACTGAGACTCCATTGCCTGAAATTTTTGATATCATAATCACAAATTCGTTAAATGATCATTTAAATTTTTGTGTGCACATTCCATTGAATAACTGTATACATATGTTCTCATTTTGTTATGTTGCTGCCTTATGTTAAACTGCTGTAAAAAAAAATTCTTACTTTTTTTTTGTAAATTACTTTTTTTTCACATTAATCTACACTCCACACTCCATAATAACAAAACAAGATTTGTGACAACTTTTTAAATTTATTAAAACTAAAATAAGTACCGTATTGGCCCAAATATAAGATGACCCTCCTTTTTCCAGATGTACCTTTTGGAAAAAGGCTTTTTAAAAACCAAATCTTGTTTTTTCTCAGTAAAACACATTTTGTGTTGTTATTTTCATATTGCATATTTTTCCTATTTTAATGTTTGTTTTGAAAGTATGGTAAAAACTGGTAAACTGTACAAACAATCACATTTAAAAAATATACACTTTTTGATATACCATTAAAAAAAAAACAGGTAGCCCATCTGAATTAGGACATTTTGGCTATCCATCTAATAGTTGCCTACCAAAATCTTATTAACAGTAAAAGTTAAATCTTACTGTAGTCTTCAAATCTGGGTACTGTCTTACGTTTTAAAATCACAAAGGGAGTTGATCTTTACAACACGCATTACATTATGTATTTTATGGCACACTCATTTTATGTGTATTTGGCGCCACCTATTGTTGTGGGTGTATTATTGACATGTCAAAGTCTAGACCCTGAATATAAGACGACCACATTTTTTCAGATGTATTTCCAAGAAAAAAAACATTGTCTTATATTCGGGTCAATACAGTGCATTGCTTCAGTACTTAGTTGAAGCATATTTACAGCCTTTTCACATTTAAAGCCTGAAGAACCTTTAAATTATTTTTGGGTATGATGCAACAAGATTTGCTCATCTGCATTTGGCAATTATCTGCCATTTTTCTCCTCACCTCTTCACCTCTCAAGCTCTATCAGGTTGGGCAGATCAGGGGCATAAATTGCAGGGGGGTCAGGACCCCCCATCTGAGGGTTGTCCCCCTCTAAAAATATCCCCCCGGTGCAACATCACTCGGGGTGAACGCTGACAGAGTTATAACCTGGGCTCTGAACGCTGTTGAGAGGACCTTAGGGACATACCCTCCCTCGGTTTGAGAACAACCTTGCAGTCACTGGGGCCTAAATCAATGCAGGAGTTGTTGACTGAAAGAGCATACATGTCACTCACGCGCTTCACTGAAGCGAGCACTAACAAAAGTGCCATCTTATAAGAGAGCTTTTTTAATGGAGTCGACTGTAGCAAGCCAAACGGTGGATGCGACAAAGCCTTTAGAACCAAAGCTAGATCCCAAGTGAGGATAGTGAGTGGGCGAGAGAGGTTCATCTGTCTCACCCCCCCCCCAGAAATTTGACCACTAGATCATTCCTGCCAACTGGTTGCCTGTCAATCTCCTTATGGAATGCTGATATAGCGGCGACGTAAACCTTGAGCGTCGTAGGTGCGCATCCACCGACCAAGCACTCTTGCAAATAGGAAAGAATAACTGCAATTGCACCAGTTCTCAAAGACCCTCCGTTTATGAGCATACAGGTGCATAGTAGAAGGGGCTCTCGCACGCACTGAAGGAGTGTAGCTACTAGCGAGCTCCGCTGAGTGACCAGACGTGCAAATCCCTTTGCTCCAGATTGGGATGCCAGATTGAGCCTCTCGCTTGAGATAGGAAGTCTTTCCTCAACTGTACTGTCCAAGGTGGCCCCGTCAGCAGTTCTAGCAATTCTGGAAACCAGGCCTGTGTGGACCATTTTGGCGCGACCAGCAGCACTGTTTCCTTCACCTCCTTGATCTTGCACAGCACTTGATAAGGAGTTTTACTGGTGGAAACACATATTTGCACGCTCTCAGCCAGTGGTGAGTGAGTACATCCACTCCCAGGGTGAATTATTCCGTTAGGGAAAAGAATAACGGGCAGTGAGTGTTCTCTGCCGATGCAAAGAGGTCCACATCTGCTTGCCCGAATGCGTTCCAAATCATACTCACTGTTTGAGGGTGTAACCTCCATTCTCCTTGGAGCATGCCCTCTCTCGACAGCATGTCCACTCCACAGTTCAAATGGCCGGGGACAGCTCGAATAGATAGAATATGTTGATCTGCCCACAACAGGAGAGTTGTCGCGATCCTCAAGAGGGGCAAGTTGATCCCCCGCTTGGCGATTTATGTACGTCACCACTCCCATGTTGTCCGAACGAATGAGAACATGCTGGCGGTGAACTTGAGCGTAAAATTGCTTGAGGGCTAGATGAACTGCCTTCAATTCTTGGCCATTTTGTGTGCCACGCCTTCTCCGTGTCGGTCCAAACACCAAAAGCCAGCCTGCCATCGCAAAGGGCTCCCCAGCCCTTGCATAATGCATCTGTTGTGACAGTTTTGCGTGTGCTTATCTGTCCCATCATCACGTCCCATCTGTACAGCGCATCACTCATCCAAGGGGATATCGCTTCCAGACATCTGCGAGTCACCAGCACATGCATTG